AGACGAGGTCATTATCCACATGATGAATCAACAAACATTCTGCAGTAAAAAACATTCAAACAGGATGGCAGTATTTTGAGGATAACCCGAGCTACAGACATAATAAAAATATGAATCTGGTACTCATAGAAAGGTAAGAAATAGAGATACAATTTTTGTGAAGACAACTTTAGCAAGTTCTGACATCGCCACAAAGATAAATCAACAACAACACAAAACATAGCTGCAGTCCGGAAAGGAAAAGAACAACTTACAGCACTTCAGTAATTCCAAGATAACAGGAACTACAAACATGATATTACAGAAATTCAAAAACCCTAAGTTAGCTAACTCAATTTCCTACAACTTTTTCTGAAGACTTCATTGGCAAAATATGACATTATCAATGAGGTTAAGTAATAAACATTCAGTTCACAAAACAGTCCGGAGAACTACTTTTCGAATGGGTAGCACTTTAGTAAAATGGCAACAACTCAAGCTACATAACTCCAATTTATACCAATTCGAAACCTACAGAATCTACACATGGAATTGTATTTATAAACAAGAAAAATATTATTCAAATTAATTTCTCGAATCAAAATAAATATAGCAGATTACAATCTCTATTATTCGGAGGGTCAACGCCTTGATTTCTGATCAAACGTCGAAATATCCCAAGAACACGAAGAACACGAATCCTTGGTCTTCGTTGCAAAGTAGACCTTGGATCTTCTCCACGCCGGTTTTGAGTTTACTCACGTTATTCGGAGGCTTTGCAGCTTGTTTCCAGATTAAACGCCAGTCTTGAGGTTGAACGCGCTTGAATCTTACTTCGAATCTTCAAGAACACTTGAATCTCGTCGAGAGAATTCTCTAGAGCTCTTGAACTTGAATATGAATTATGAAGTGTTTTTTGTTACATTAGGGAGAGCCCCTATTTATAGGTATAGGAGGGAGAACCTTACCAAATTTAAGAATTGTAGGACGCGATTTGATTGGTCCATGATGATTCACATAAGATCTTTTAGATCTACCTAGATCTCTCCAAGATCTTCTAGAAGACATGTGATTTATTACCAAGAAATATGATTTGACACTTGGCAATATTTGATTGGTCAAGAATTAAAATAAATAAAATATCAATTAATTAACTACTTAAATTTAGGAATTAAATTTATGAAAATTCCTAAAATATAAATAGAAAATATGACTTGATTTTTAATAAATTAATTTTCACGTGCCGCTATTTGATTGGCCACAATTTTATGTATCTACAAGAACATTTGGTACGCTTTAATGCTTAATTCTTGGACATTTTGCGTGGCCTCAAGCTTTTCAATTAGATGTTTACTTGAGTTCCAAGCTTAGCTCCTGGACGTTTGTTTTTACAGTGGAGCTTCCATGTTGGACGTTTGCCTGGCTTCCAAGCTTAGCTTCTGGATGTTTGTTTTCATATGCAAGCTTTGATAAAGGACGTTTTGTATGCTTTAAAGCTTAACTCTTGGACGTTTCACATGGCCTCAAGCTTTCTAGTTAGACGTTTAGCAGCAGAATAAGCTTGCAATTTAAAAGTTTTAAATGTGTTGCCCCTTCTCATTTAGACGTTTCTCTTCAGAGTCGGGCTTCGCCTTTGGACGTTTCCTTTGCTTCCAAGCTTTACTCTTGGACGTTTGTTTTCACAGTCGGGCTTCTTTGCTGGACGTTTCTTTGGCTGCCAAGCTTAGCTTCTAGACGTTTCTTTGACTTTCGAGCTTTGTTGTTAGACGTTTGAATACATTTTTTTCCATTAACATTTTTTACCACAGGGATATTTGTGTAAATTTACAATTTTTTAATATTTTTTTCGGGCGACAAGTAGTAATTTGGGGCGACAAATAACACCACCCTTAGAAAAAATGACACATGTCATTTTGGTGTTATACAGATGGACCAGACGGGGATACCCATCGTTTATATTTGGGTAGTCGGCCCTACCTTTTGGTGCTTCTGCTCCTCGTGATGATGCTGACTCTTCTCCTGGACTCCTTTCGGACCAGGATCAGATCTTTGATGTTATTTGATGTTGTTGTCTCTTTCTTTTTCTTTTTTTCTTTTTGTTCTCGTGTATTTGGATTATTGTTTTTATAGTTATCCAACGACGCAACTTAAAGTGAAAAAAGTGTTTAAGGAAGTAAAATAAATCAGTATTGTTAACGTGATTTGAAAATAATAAAATATTCATTATATAATTAATAACAAAAACTATGTGAATTGTTAAATCATATTTTTTATATAGAAATATATAATATTAGAAGTGACTACATCCCGTAACTTACCGTGTCATCATTCAATTATACACCTCAGAATCTAGTTGATGTTGTTATCCGTTGGATTAGATGTATAACCACAATATATGTGGAGACGAAAGTACATGATCTAGACAACTGTCCCACCACTTGTACAAATTATTATTTTTTTAAATAATTTATGTTTTGTTTATTTTTTTTATTGCCAACGTACAAAAATATATAATATTAATAAACATGAACCATAATTAAAAATATTCATTTTTTTAAATATGATAAAAACATTAAATTATTTTCTATGCTTATTTTCATTTATTATATTTAGGTTTAAAAATATTCATGTTGAAGAATCTTTTTTGACCATTTTTTGTTTCCCAAAAATTTACAGATCTAACTTCTGATTCTTTCTCATTGGTTGTGCATTGGAATGGAAAATTTCAACATAACCCAACACCAAAATATGAAGGAGATAAGATTTTTATAGTTGATTATGTCACCCCCACAAGAATTGATATTGTTGGCTATCACTCTTTGGTGCAAACAAGTAGGGATCACTGGAGAGATGGGGTTGTACATGTATGAGAGTAATGGGTTTTTGTTATTGTGTAGTGAGAGAGACCTTACTAAATTTGTGCATGATGTTGTTAGAACTAGTGAGATGCATATATATGTTGATTGATGGTATCTGATCATATGGATCTTGTTGTTGAACCTAATGAGTCTGTTGAGCCCAATAAGCCCTCTAAGTCTAATAACCCTAAATCTGCTCCTACTTATGTTCCAAATGATCCAAATAAGTAAACATTGGGCTCCATGTGGGTACCAATGGAAGAAGCCATGGATAGAGACTTAGGTAGGAAGAGGATGATTGTGGATGAAAATAATTCTGATTCTGATGAATTAAATGATTCAGACTACAACATGAGTCCTGAAAATGGTAGTGAAGATGATGATGATTTGTGGGAAGAACATGTTGATGATATAGACAAAGATGTCAATGATTCAGATAATGATGATGAGGAAGATGATGTGGTTATTCATAGCCCTCAACTAGATGAGTCTAGGGTGTCTGATGAAGATTGTGAGCCAAGTGAGCCTGTTTTCAACCCTACACTTATTTTCAATCCAACATTTGAATTAGGCATGGTTTTTGCTAGTAAGGCGGAGTTTAAGAAGGCAATTCAGTCTCATGCTATTAGCACAAAAAGAAACTTGAAGTTTACAGAGAATAAAAATAGAAGGGTATATGTTGAGTGTAAGGTTGAGAGCTGCAAATGGAGAATCAATGCTCTTAAGAAACCAGATGAAGAAACTTTTATAATTTCTACTTACTTTCCTGATCACACTTGTCAACCAGAGTTCACTGTGAAGAACTTAAAAAGTAAATGGTTGAGTGAAAAGTATCTTGAAAGTTTAGAGACTGATCCTAAGAGGACTACCAAAGGGTGGAGGGCTGAAGTGATTAAAAAACTTGGGGTTGATGTGTCCAAGAAACAAGCATACAGGGCCAAGAGGAGAGCTTTGAAAGTGATACAAGGTGATCCTTTTTTGTAATTCTCTAAGTTGTGGGACTATTCTGATGAGCTGAGAAAGACCAATCCTGGAAGCACTGTCATCCTTGACACTATCACTTCAAATGGTGAAACCATATTCAGTAAGTTCTACTGTTGTTTTAATGTTTTTAAAAGGGGATTCAAAATGGGATGTAGGCCTATAATTGGTGTAGATGGTTTTCACTTAAAGGGACATAATCTAGGTATCTTGCTGACTGCAGGGGGTGTTGATCCCAACAACAATTTATTCCCCATAGCTTATGCTATTGTCTGTGTAGAAACAAGAGATACTTGGTCATGGTTTTTAACCATACTTAAGTCAGACCTAGAGATTGATGTTGATGAGCAAATGACCTTCATGAGTGACAAACAAAAGGGTTTAATATACAGGCTTTCAAAGAGGTTTTTCCCAATAGTCCTCATAGGTTTTGTGTTAGACACCTTCACTGCAACTTCAAGAATGCAGGTTTCAGGGGCTTAAGTTTTAAGCTAGCATTGTGGGGTGCTGCACAAGCTAATACAGTTGGGGAATTTAAGAGAAGGGTGATGGATATGAAAAATCTCAGTGAATAAGCTTGGTCATGGTTTCATGATCAAGCACCAAGTGAGTGGTCAAAATCACACTTCTCAGGTGTCCCAAAATGTGATATGGTGCTTAACAATGTCTGTGAGGCTTTCAATTCAACTATCCTTGAGGCAAGAGACAAGCCCATCATCACTATGCTGGAATGGATTAGAGAGTATCTGATGGTAAGACTCCAGCATAATAGGGACAGAGCAGCTACAAAATGGCATTGAAAATTGTGTCCTAAGATACAAAAGATCTTGGACAAACATATAGAGAAGATGGGTGAGTGCATTCCAATTAAAGCAGATGATAACAATTATCAAATGTCTTGCTCTGGTGGAGAACAGTATGATGTGGCCCTTGACAAAAGAACATGTACCTGTAGGGCTTGGGAGTTGAGTGGTATACCTTGCACACATGCTCTTAGAGCCATTATCAGCCAAAAAGAAGACCCAGTTGACTTTGTGAGCCATTCTTACTCAGTAAACTCCTACAGAATAGCATATGAATGTGCAATCATGCCAATGAGTGGTGAATCTGTATGGGGGCAGACTTCCTATGTTCCTCCCTNGTAAGAATAGTGGCAAAGACAGACCATCTTCTTAGAGAAGAATAGAACCTGATGAACTGAGGGGTAAAAGAAAGAGGTCAACTTGTCCATACAAGCTTAAGAAACAACAAACAATTATAAGATGTTCTAAATGTCATGAAACATGTCACAATGCTCTTAGATGGAAGGTAAAATATATATTGTCCTTACATTATTTTTCTTACAAAATCATGTATTTGAATTGATTGCTCATTAAGAAACTTCTTATAAATATGTATATTGTCTAGGTTACTACACAAAACACAGAAGGACTAGGGAATTCAAGTGATGCACCACAAAAACAGAAAGCAAATGCAAATGCCAATATCCCTATCGGGAGGGAGAAGTTAACGGTAAAATTATATCTTTTCTTACAAAAAATATGTATTTCAATTAATTGCTCCTTGTATCAACATTGTTATGAATATGTATGTTGGCTAGGTTACTAAGAAAAACACAGATGGAGTTGTAAAATCTTGTGATGCACCACAGCAACAACAGAAGGTGCATGCAAATGCCAATATTTTACCACCCAGAGCAGATGATTTGATGAATAGTGTGATCTCAGATACGGAGTTGATGGCAGCAATTGATAACTACTGAGATGGACTTCTATCAACATGAGCAGCCTCAACCACAAGTATATTTCTTACACATATATTTTGTTTGCTCATTTACAACATTCCTATACTTATGTATATTTTTCAGGTTACCAAACAAAGCAAAAGAGGTGTGGAGAATTCATCTAATGCACAACAACAGAAGAAAAATGCAAATTCACATATTTTACCACCCACCCAAGAGGATCTGATGGATAGTGTGATTTCAGATCAGGATTAGATGGCAACATTTGAAAGTCAGGTTGACAGCAACATATATCAGTATGTGCAGCCTCACAAGCCAGGTCCTTCTCCATTTGAGCAGCTGAAAATGTCCTCAAACCAGCCACCTGTGACTAACCCTCTGCAGACTAGGATCAATATCAGAGCACCCCCACCAATCACAGGAGGATATAGCAGACCATTATTCAGTACCAAGCCCAACAACTCCAAGTCAATTGTGGTGGAAGGTGGGAAAAAGTTCATGAACCTCTCTCAGGAAAGCCAAACAGGAGTGCAAATGAAGAAAGAAAAGGGGAAAAAGAAGTGAAAAATAAAAATTTGTGTGTTAGGTTAAGTTCTGTGTAAATCTTTTATTATGAAACTTGCTTTGGACGTGGTTTGGTTCAGCAACAATTGGATGGTTGATTTAGATTTGTTTTGGTTCTCATGTGGACAAACAGCTTTTGGTGTAGATGTTCTTGGGATTGTGTTTGAATACAAGGGCAAGAACTATGTAATGAATTTGGTATTGGTGATATTGTGTTTGTGTTTGAATACAATGGCAAGAATAATGACAAACAGGTTTTTGTGTCCTTTATGAAGTTCTCATAATGATTCTTATATTGGTTATGTGTTTTTGTATTGGTTATCTGTTTTTGTATTGGGTCTCATAATGCAGCTCTTCTCCTAATGAAAAACAGGTTATCTGCTTTTGTTTTGGTTTAAAGATTTTCTCATTCAAAATGTTGAGCATAACAACTTAACAATCAAAATAAAGCTTTAACATCAAATAAACATTCTAAAATCCACTGAATCATAACATACAAAAATAAACTAAAAGACAGCTTTTGTCATTCCAAATACAACATCTTACATTGAAAAAAGGTCTTAACATAACATAAATAGGATCCTTGCATCTTACCAAAAGGTCTTAACATAACATAAATAGGATCCTAACATCTCAACCATCCTCACAAAATACAAACAGAAGCAAACACCAACATCTTCATTATAGCAAAAGGACAGTCACTGAAGCATCCTACCATTCAAAAGGACAGTCACTGAAGCATCTTCACTTGGTTCATTCCACTTGGGTTCTCCTCAGCAACTTTGAAATTGCACAATATGGTAAACACCAGTAAAAGAACCAAAATGCAGACTATCTTCTTCAACTTTTTATCCAACTTCACCAAATATTTATTTTTTAATTTCACCTTCTCAATCTCAGCTTCTCTTTCATTCATCTTTCTCAAGAGGCCAGGAATTATCATTTTAGACCTACGGCCAGGAATTATCATTTTAGACCTACGGCACATTGGAGGGTCGCACCAGTCAAAGAAATCACAACCTCCATGCTGTGAGAGTAAAATTTAGAAATCAAGAAAAGGGATTAATTCTTCACATATGAATAAAAGACTTCATTAAATATGCAATTCTATTTAACACCTTACCTCATAATTCAAGCATGATTGCCCAGGGTTGGCGTCCTTCCACGTTGTCCGAATCACCGTCCTCCGACCACAATGGCATGTCCCATCTCCGGTGACAAAAGACATATTTCAACTAGGGTTGAGATTTGACAATTTTGAAAAATTTGGGGAAGAAATATGAGTATGCCCGTTTCTGCGTTCAGCTTTTCTTCAAGTTTGCTTTCGATCAAAACAAATTTCATGGCGAATTTGGAGCGATTTTGGGGCGATTTGGGGATTACGGTTTTGGGAAATTAAGATTTCAAATGGCCCGTTTCTGATTTTGCCTGTTTTATTGGCAGGCGTGTGGGTGTACTTAGCCACGTCAGATGTATGTGGCCAGTGTGGAAAATAAAAGCCATATAGGTGCGACGTGGATTTCCGGGCTGGAAAAGGGAAGAAAGTCCTACTTTTGATCATTTTTTAAAAGCTGCGGAACTATACATATTTTCTGCATTCCGTGGGGACCAAAAATGTCACCCCCCTAAACCTGTGTGACTAATTTTGAATTTTTCCCTTTAATGCTGCCCATGGTGATAGGTAATTATTACAGAAACCTCAAATCCCATTCAATCTGTCAGAGCGACGCCGGCCTATCCTTCAAAGCCACTGTGCGATGGGACAGGATGAACAGTGCCGAGTTTGAAGATACTATAAATAGAAGACTCATTCTCATTTATTAGGGTGGTTGAATCTTTCAACTACTACTTTCTCTCTCTATATTTACTTCCCCAACTCTGTAATAATTTCTAGTGAATATCCAAAGTGTAGTAAAAGTGCCGACCTCGATATCAGAGGCCGACCTCGTAATTAAGCAATAAAGCCTACTTATTCTGTAAATCTCATCTTTCTTATCTTTCCGAGCACTTTTAAACTCTTTGTTAGCCGTCGACCAATCGTCAATAAATTATTTTTAATTTTATTATATTTTAAATGTCTACAAATTTTTGGTATTTTCATAACAAATGTATTTTTTATATTTATGTAATTCGGGTATACTTGGTAACTATAAATCATTAACTTTATTATATTTATCAGAAAAAACATTATAATATAAGGTCAATACGTCTTACAAATGACATGTGTCATTTTAATATAAATAATAATACATTTAAAAAAATGTTTAAAATTTAAAAACAATACTTCTATTGCCTTTGGTGTTTCTCGAATTTATTCCACATATAAAACAATACAATTTATTATTTAGTTGGATAATCCAACTGATATGTCCAAGCTTTTTCATGTTATTTGTACAGACTTTTTCTCCTTAATAATGTACTAGTACAATATTCATGTATTACAAGGATGCTTAAAATAATTTATACTTTACGACAAAAAAAAAGTAAGTTAATTTATATTTTTGTGTTAAATTATAAACAATAATGTAAAAAAATAATTAACCATCAAAGTGATACTATTTAATGTGAAGTCGTGTTTTACACTCAATTTATTCAATGATTTATTGGTTTGACCAGAATTTAATTTATTAATATATATAGATATATAAATTTGTAATAAATTTATATGAAAAAATAATAATTGAATATTTGAACAATTTAAAATATTTGAAAAATTGATAAATAATTTATAAATCTCAATTTTATTTATATATGCATTTTTATTCACACTAAAAATAATTTAAATGTAATAAAAATTATTTAAAAAATCATATTGATTCTACCAGTTCAACCGACTGGTATTGGCAGGTCCGCTAACAAACGTTTAGTTTAAGCGAACCCTGAATGATCGATAAAATGGTTCTCGGTTTATTAATATAGTCCGATTTTAAAAACAATGGGTAAATCATAATTAATATTATTTATATATTTAATTTATAATACAGTTGTAATATTATTTTTTTTCATATATCGCACGTACCGCGTACTAGTTTAAATAAAACAAATTTTGAAGCATTCGAGTCTACCATGGGATTTAGGACCAACATATTATGATTTATTTTATTTTATTTTCTTGTTTTGTATTACATGGATGCCAAAATATAATAGATAAAATGTATATAGATGACATGATTTATTTTATTTTATTTTCTTGTTTTGTATTACATGGATGCCAAAATATAATAGATAAAATGTATATAGATGACAAAATATAAATAGCTAAATCTGGTCGCATAGTTTACAGGTACATGGCTATTCAATTATGTGGCAAATACATTCAGATATATGCCCACGGTATATGCCTACCAGATTATGCCGCAAAAATGAAGCTGAATGAAAACGTTCTTAAAAATATTTTTTGTATGATTTAGATATGAATATTTTTCTTATGATTTAGATATGGATTTGATTATGGGACTATCTACACCTAAACCTTCCAAATACGTGATGAGGTTGAGGAAAATATAGCTTATACTATTATTTACTCGAACTCTAAAATTTTGGTTTGATAAAATGAAAGATCTCTCTTATTAAAATATAGCTTATACTATTATTTACTCGAACTCTAAAATTTTGGTTTGATAAAATGAAAGATCTCTCTTATTTATAGGCATCTCTCTTTCTAGTTAACATGAGAACATCTCCTGTCTCCTACTCATTGGATAGCTCTTGAACTACCTAGATACTTGGGATTCACAACAAGACTAGCCCATTCTAGTGTCTTCTACAATCATCTCTCTTGGATAAGTCTAGTTTCTACAACATATATAATTCTACAACTTTCCTATTCAAAATTCTTCAAGCTTATCTTTAGCCCTAGAATATACATCATTTTCCAAGCTTCTTGTCTTAATTTTTTAGGTGGTGCTAGATACTTCCAGAACCTTCCACACACATCTGGAACATCTTTTATAATTTCGGAATGCTCCCCATGCACCCGGAACATTCCCCACGCATACAGAATGCTCCCGAAGCATCCGAAATGTCCTTCTCGCAGCTCTAATTAGCAGCTCCAATTTCTGGAAATGAGGTGTTTAACATCAATGTGTGTGTCTCGTGTTTTTCCACTTGGTACAATCTGTTATCTCTCCCAAGCTTTTTCCCAAAATCCCCTAGTCATAGTGTGGGAGTTTTCTCCCTCGACTCAAACTTAACCAAATTAATTTATTTAATCTTCCCTCAAATGACAAAGATAGTCCCCGAATGCATCAAATATTAACTTCACCGAATTAATTTATTTTAATCTTCCCTGAAATGACTTAGATACTCCCTGAATGCATCAAATTTCAGAATAGATCCTCACTTGAAATGACAAAAATATGCCTTGGATGTATCGACTGGCATAATATTTAGTGGGATTCCAACTTAAGGTTGCCAATGTCATATTGTTCGTAATTATTCCGTACCAAATAACAAATCAAACTGCTGAGTAGACATGCCGAGAAAATATCTTGAAGCAAAATCTATTACCAAAAATCTTTCCACTCAGTCACAGAAATAACTGTTAAATACAAAATGGGCCACAAGCTCCCCATTGTCACTAAATTCATGTATTTTTGGCTACTAATGTTACACCAAACAAAAATGAAGGTGAAAACCAACACAAACAAACCCAGGCCGCCAAAAAGCCCTTGTAGACAAAGGATTACCACAATGAACAATGATTACAAATGAAGGGGAAAAGACATCTATTAGAAGGGTAAAGTTCCATTATAACAAACCACAGCACCTTGCATGAGACACACCAAACAGAATTCAATATCCTCTAATTTTCCTCTATTTTCTCGAAAGATGAAATGAATCTTCCCAAAGCCCATGTCGACTTTGTTTCGAATGAGAGTCAAAATCCCCAAACAAACTTCGATCACACAACCTATTGTGTTTTTGAAGGACTGGAATATTCTGTTCCGTTTTCACCTGAAGTTACTTCGGAAGAAGCACTTGACGATAAACCGCCATAATCACTTGTTCCACTTTGTAGGCTCTTTGGTGGGGCAGTTGGGTTGTGTTGTTGAGGATTGGCATTGGGAGGCCTTTGGCCCTCCTCAGCAAGTTTTCTAAGAAGGTTCATGATGGTTGGCAGAAATTTGGTGGATAACGAGAGGATTCCAGGAAGCTGTAAGCATGAAAAAATTATTAAAACATATAAAAGTATATATTAAAATTAAATTTAAGCTTGTGAATAAAGCTGAGCGCAAAAACATTCACATGGATATCGGCAATTTATTATTTGAGAGACATGCAGAAGAACTAAATTTTTTAAGTTGGTTATTTTCATAATTAATTGTCCCACTAACATTTATTCAAATTGCATCCCAGAAATCTCAATGATTTTAATGCCAATTGGTTGCACCGTATTCCTGGACTTTATGTCTGAAAGAAAGACCACTATATTCAAATGTCCAGAAAAAGAAAATCCACCTCTATCCTAAATATTCCAACTCAGAGAGGGGGATTTCATTTTAGGGAGATGAAAAAAGTGAACCTAGAAGTCAAAATGGAAAATCAGATGTTCAAAAATGGCATATTAGTGGATGGAAAAGCAGTGTTAAAGGTCAAGTAATAGTTCACTTACGGCTCCATTTCGGAATTCACCAGAAATGTCTAATTGCACCCAAAGGGCTTTCAGAAGCAAGAAACCAACGAAGATAACGCCCAAATATAGTGGATTTCTGTAAAAGGTAATTATGGGATGAGCAAAATTTGTGAGTAACTGAGAGAGTTGCAAACAAAGAAACTATAATAATAAGTGAAGAAAAAGAAACAAAAAAATAATAATAATAATCCAGAAACCCAGTATGATATATAAAAGTGGCAAATACAGTTACACTAATCTAAAGGAAAAGGCAAATCAAAAAATGACAAAGTACCTCAAAAGGGTCATAAACTCATTAAATCCCAATATAACTAATGCAGCAATTGCCCATGGAGGTGGTAGCCAGTTGTTATTTCGCCTGCTAGCTTCCTNTGAACATTTATGAATAAATGTAGATGTGAAGTTGTGAACAGAAATCTAGTATAACATTAATCGTATAATGCACCAAACACTTCAAAAGGGTTAAACAGAAAGTGCACCTGTGCAGCAATGGCTTGAGTAACAGTATACTCCGTCTCGGTTTTAAATTGCCTCCACAAAGATTTACATTGAACTGGGGATAACAATGTTTTGGATGATGGAACCTGGGTAAGAGTTTTCAGCCACATGCCAAGTATGAGTAAAAAGTAATCACAAGAGATATGCTCACTGATCTCATAGAACCTGGGTATGAGTTTTCAGCCATATACGAGTAAAAAGTACTCACAAAGATATGCTCTTTGAGGTCTCATATAATTGCTTAAAATGTATATAGATAATTACAAGTTAATCTTCAGATGTGCCCAAAGAACACTCAAGAATACACGACCAATGCTGGTGTGAACAATAATGTAAAAATTCAGGAATGATTAACAAAAATAAAGTGGTCACTCCTCCTAACAAAGGGGTGCCAGTTCACGAAATGCGGCGAATAGATAAATATCACTTTGCATGTGCTAGCACATAGATACTTTATATTTGGAAATCACAGCTAATATCAGAGTCACTATCAACTTCCGGTTTTTAAAGGATATTCTAAAAAGAAAAGATTTAGAGCAATAAAACTACCTCTTCCCAAGTGCTTGAGGCAAGAGGGTCCCCTGAGATACTCCTATTAGCAACAGCTCCACTATTAGGATCAATGAGAGCAAGGGACAAGGTTTTCTCAATAGAATCAGTATCATCATCCAAACGGATGGCAGCCATAACTGAGAGTAGCTTCAAAGACTAAAACAAAAAGTAACTACAAAAGATTAATATCTGTTATTGTTAAACAAAATATTTATGAATATTAAAAAACTTGTATCATACAGCGGAACGAGCAGTTTTGGTGATTGCTCGAATATCTTCCTTCCCTGTCCAGACACGTGGCATTGAGTCGGAATCATGACTAAATAAGGTCGAAAACCTGTCAACAATGATCTGCTCAATTCCCACTTCACATTTGAAACTGCAAGTCAATGACTTTCAGGATTATATTATAACTTCAACCACAAATAATTACCTGTCCTTCATGCGGATCAAAACCCTTCCTGCTTCTTCTTTCGCCTTTGCTTCAACTATTCCTCTCGCATGATCCTCCAATCTCGAGAGCATTTTCTCCTCTGTTACATCATCAATTTCAAAACCAGAAAGTGCGCTAGAAAACCCTCTAACCGCTTTTTCAGTCTCACGGTGGAGAAGCTTTCTTATGGCCGGCCATGTATCATCACTAGCCCCATCTAACAGAGCCTCCACAGGTCCAGACAACGCATCATTAAGTTTTGTCTGCAAAAAAATAAAAAAATAAAAACCATCAGTGGGAAAGCTATGTAGTAAATTAACACACACACACACACACACACACAAAAAAAAAAGGTATCCACATTACTGGGTCATTATACTCAAACCAAGTATAGCCCATCTACATAGCCCTCTTGAGATAATGCTGTTGTACAGTTACAGGTATAAATTGACTTCCCCAAATTTTGATAATAAATAAGTAATAGTACTCATATCCTTGGAGAAGCTAAACTCTTGTTTTTTCCAGAGCAATGTTTATTTTCTATTAAAGCTTCAAAAAGCCGATACATTATTTGTAATGCGACTTATCTAATCATAGATCTCTACTTATCCTGTAAAAGGAATTACGTCTACCTCATAGGTTGTTGTAAGTTCAGACAGCTTCGCCGTACGAACAGCAGAAATATGTGCATCTATATCACGCCTAAGCTTATCTCTCACTTTAGAAGAGTCCCAATTTGCTTGACCAATGTCCACGTCTGAAAAAGGTTAAAAATTTTGTAATTTAACTTTGACAAGTCCATGCGATGAATTTCCTATGGATAGGCAATGATAAGGGGCAAAAACAAAAGGTGGAACTCAATTCACGAGGGAAGAAATTGTTTCAACAGAAATTTTACACTTCAAAAATCAAGATAAAGGGACCTTAAGTTACTATTGATAAAAAGACGAGATATTAAAAATCTCCATCAAGAGTTCTGTTTCAGAAAGAAAGTTTGTAGTGTTATTGTGTCATGCAAAACGTCCACAGCCTGTTGATGACAGAGATGGATGTTATATATAAATAACAGTACCTGCAGATGCTTCATCAAACTGTGTCATATAAAGCTTGGTGCAGTCACGTGCAGCAATAGCGAATCCTGTACCCCCACTCAAGGCTTTTTCAAATGCTTCTTTAAACCTTTCCAAAGTTCCAGAGCGTATGTGTCCCAACATGAATTGGTATGCTGGTTGGACAAGCTAATGTAACAAAAAAAGAATGGAAGATCGTAACAAAAAGGAAAAGTGAGAAAATGAAAGGAAAATGAATAATGACAAACAAATTTACAAATGATTATTGTGGGTAGTAGCAGCTAACAAGGACTGGCTAATAATAATTTCTGCAAATTAAGTTAGCGTATCACCAAGAAGTCATGCTAATGAACTCAGAGAGAGAGAGAGAGAGAAGAGACTATTGTCTCTCATAATTACACAAATCCCTATGTTCAGATCATACATGCTTCCTCCTCAGCAAGTGGATGTTGTGGCTATTAATTATATAAGACTTCTTAACATTTTCTACTGCACAGAAGTTGGTATTATGCACTCTATTACGTCCATGAAAGTTCACGGAATATCAGAAGGCTCAAGAAGAATTACTTGCAAAAGCTTTTCCTCCAACTGTTGCCGCTTAGAAGATCTAACACTTTCATCGAAGTATGTCGCCTCTGCATCATACCTTTCAAAGGAAATGACATGCAACTGAAAATCAGAAACTTAATCGAATTCATAAATGGTGAAAGCAAAGTGGAAAGTTATAATACATTGCAGAATTGGTTCGTCCATTCTCAATGGCAGGATTTTATGACAAACGAGACGCCACATGGAATGAATCAGTATGTGAAATACTTCGTCCACTAACATTCAGCAAAATTGGCGGAAATGAAAATAAACATCAAATTTAAAACCCTGCCAAATATACCAACTATCCCAATATTCCCTGTTCTTATTCTCTCTCTTTCACAATTAGTGACTTACCTGACCTGATGAAACATTGCCAGAAACTAACATCATAAATCTAACAAGATATATTTACTCCTAATAAAGTGTGTCCCATCATTTAACCACCCTATCACCAAAAACCAAAAGCATGAAGCGTCTTAAATACATCCCATTATATTTGGTCCTTCCTTTTAATAAGCAGCCTGATGAATTACATCATAGTCGTCAATAACTAAATCTGTCAACCATATCAAATACTTCAACCCAACAACAGCAAGAGGGAAAAACCAATCCAAGGTCTACCAATTAACAGTAATCAAACACAATACTGTAGAGGCCATCTCTTAATGATAGTTACTGGAATCAGAAGATCAAACACAGTGGTTGCCAGACTTTTGTCTGAGGGGACAAAATGTACAAATGACAACATATATTAACATGTTATTTCATAACACATGCGAATTCTTCAACAGCCAAAATTATCAAAATTGTCAGTAAGATATCAGATAATTATGAGGAGCAGATCAGACAGTAACTTACTCTGATAGACAAACATCAAGAATGGAGGTGAGTTTCCTCCCAAATCCGGGAACTGGTTGAGATTGTACCATCTCTTCAAGTTGACGCCATTCCTGCATGTGGATGGGCAAAAAATAAATAACAGAAAATTCTAAGAAATTTCGAAGCACACCACCAAAAACCCGTATCATGGGACAACTACCTCATTTGCAATAAATGAGGAAAATTTCTCATTTGCAATTTCTTCACAACGTACTGTAGCAACCATGACCTACCAATACACCATAAATATTTCAGTAAAGGACAACTGTTGAGAAATTGACTTAGGGATTCAAAATAAGCAATAAAAGAAATACCTTATGTGCAGGAAGGTCAAGGTCCTTGTTCTCCTTAATGACCTTCCATATCTGTTGAGCACTGAATGAAAACCCTGAAGCAGGGACTACCCCACGCCTGTCCCCAGCAAGCCCACCAGGGGCAATAGAATGAAAAAATCTCTGTCTCAGATTTGCCACCTTGTACCCAAAAAAATCTAATATGAGATCCCTTCTGTCAAAACAATCTTTCATCGTACTTTAAAAGTATCCCACATAAACATAAATACGGAAGCAAATCCTGCAGAGGATAGGTGCTAGAAATAAAATGGCGTACGACCCTGTATAATCTAAACAAGAGCACAAACCTGTTCTTTAAATTGTTCTTCCTTCTCTTCATAACTAGAGAGAGCCACGACTTCAACCTGGCAGTCAACGATTTAACAAAAACTACCCTAAGTTTTCTAAGCCATAGAAAGACAATAATAAATCATCAACTTAACATCTACACCTTACATTGAAAAATTCACTTAGTGGAGTTTCCTTGTGAGCTTGAGGCTTAGGAACAGAATCCCAGATCTACCAAATTGAGAGAAGGAAATGAAAAAAGCTGAACATTAAAACCCTACTGCATAAGATCCTAGATATAATAGCAAAACCTCATATGATGTACCTTCTGAATGTCTTCCCTTAAAACTGGTTCCAAGTTTTCCAATGGTGTCTACAAAGATGCAGATGTATTTCAAGTTATTTTATGGGACCAACTCAGATATCATAAATTATTGAAGTACCATGGCAGTGAACAAGGAGACCATACCCTTGTTTTATCACGGATAACAAACATCAAAGTTGTCTTACGAGGGCTAAATAGTCTCATCATAACCTGTTTATTATAAACAAATAAATCAGCAGACAGTCGCCATTTCAACAAACTAAGTGCATAGAACAATCTGATGATTGATAAGACACCTGAAATACAGTTTTCAATAGAGGTTTATTTGCCGCCTGCTCACGCCCAATATCATGACACCACCTGAAGAAAATTTCCCCACAACCGAAACCTCAAAATTCATGTAGTTGTCAAAAACCAACTAGGTCGCTGTTAATGCAGAGCACCAAACTTACATGTTTATGAGCACTATATCAGAAACTGCAAGTGCAAAAAGAGCACTCTGCTTTTCAAATGCAGTATCATCCTGGAAAAAAAATGCAGAATAGTAACATTGTACCAACTTCAAAATTATAATGAGTAATTTAAGTTAAACAACAGTAAGATGTTTGGCTAGAAAAGTGCAGGTCAATGGAACTACATCATGCTGCTTGGGCTTCAAAAACAATGAGTGGATGGAAGACATGCAGGCGCATATTTCATAATCACATGAAACAAAATACAAGGTATTGGCTAAATAGCCATATACTCACTCAAATAGGAACAGCATGCAAGTGGCATGAACAAAAATGTAAACAAAAGTGGGTTACGCAAACATGAGAATAATGGAACAGTAACAAAGTGGCCTTTGATGCAGGGGATAAACCACCAAATACAAAGATCAACACAAAAATCAACTAACTAAGAAAAAAAAAAAAATCCCAAACCTCTCCTCTTTCTCTTCCATCAGTGCCTTCTAAATCCATTACAATAGTGCAGGGTTCAATTCCTACGCAGTGGGCCATCCATATGCCTTTTGTGGTTTGAGACCTGAATATGTTCAAAAACTCAGTAATTTTTCAATTAAATGAGACAACAAAAGAGCAGGTCACGAGATGCTTGCCTCCCCTTAAAAGCATCCATTTCCCTGAAATTTGTACCAAAGAGGTGATTCAACAGCGTACTTTTCCCTGTCAAAGTCATAAAAAATATTTCAAACTATTTTTTCATAGCATTAAAAAGCACATAAACAATGCCATAGTCCATTTAAACGTGAACAGTGAACTTTAAACAAAAGATAGCACTGTGAAAACAAAAAAACAAAACAAAAACAATCACTTCAAAGTTCCATATTTATTTTCAGCAATCCTTGAATATCGCTTGAACAAAAATAAAGAGTGGAATAGCAACTCAAAATTCATACCACTACTCTGAGGGCCCATGATGGCCACAACAGCATAAGAAAGTCCACATTCACCAAGTTTAACTTCCTTCATGAAATTATCAATTCCAGCAACATTGAAAGTACCATCGCCATCTATTAGGTGTGTTGAATAACAATGGTCTCGTTGATCTGAAAAACAGGATGTAACTGTATTGCATGAATAACAGACAGAATGATCTGCAGAAACATTTACTTCAGGCAACGTGACTTCTACTTCATTAATTAGAATTCCCCTTTGGTACAATACATCATTCCAAAGCATCACGAAATGAAAAACATAAAATCCACTTATTGGTGACAGGAAAGAGATTATTGAAGGGGACAAAAAGAAAAAGAAAAGACGAAAGGAACTCATCACTGCAAACTTAAAATAACAATAATATGAATTCTTGAGCAACAGTTGCAAATAGTTCCTGACAAATTGTAAAAAGCAAAGGGAACAATTTTGGGTTCACCAATAGAGCATGGGGGAAATTAGTATGAACATGATGCATTACTTGCTTCACAAATAGATTGGGGTTTAAAATAACTAATCCATGTTTAAAATATACTAGCTTGTGAAGTCACCATCTCTTGGATTTCAAGCTTCAATAGGGATAATAATAGCAAGAAGGTCCAATTAAACACCAATTACATCCGCATCGAAACTAAAATATACAAAACAAAGAAAAAAAAAATCTCCAGAAACAATGCAAAAATAAAATACAAATAACAATACTCAACCACTATCATTAAAAAATCAGGCCCAGCGAACCGCTAATACTGAAAAAGATGTCAAACCAAGTAATACTGAAACGTCTTCAAATCAGACAACAGAAAAAATTAAAAAGAAAATGAAAAAAAAAAAGAGACCATCTTGACCTACTTTAAAGCTTAGTAACAGAAACTGAAGAAAAGATCAGGAAAAAAAAAAACAATTAAGCACCTAGAACAGCTAACCAATTACGTTATAAGCTCAAATTGATTATCAGCTCAGGGCAATCATTGATAATTAATTTGAACTGCTCAATCAATTTGACGGTTCCACTGTACACATAAACTGAATTATCAGCTGAAATCGAACTGGATCGACGACGTACCCATGTTATATGAGAAATTGATAGGATCCGATCGACGGCAGAGGTTCTCCGGCGATTGATGGATCGGGTAACGGAAGGAGGAAAAAGGTGAATAGGGCCGAAGCAGACGATCTCAAATAGGGGTCAGTGCATATACATAATAATAATAAATGCAGATTTATATCGATGGAAGATAGATATAAAAAGGGTTTATTAGAGGAATTCTACGTTCTACAAATTGTTGTAATTTTATTCTGTTTTCATTCATTTACTTTCTCCTCTTCTTTTATCTTTTTCTCTCTCTTTTTTCTTTTTAAATAATTAAGGTCGTGATTGAAAAATACTTTCTTTGCCAAAATCTATCTTCCAATTTCATTTTGAAAACAATTTGAGTGATGTGAAACAATTCTTTGTGTATGAATAAGACAAAATTATAAATTTATGTGTAATAAAAAAGTATTTTTATTATTAACTTTTAAAATAACTTTTATTATGTTTATATTGTATAAATACAATATGAATGTCAAAGCGAATTTTGTTAAAATCAAAATAATATATATTAATTGAAAAACAAATAATAAATAATACATAATATGAAGTTTTAAAATACATTTGTAAATTAGGTTCAATAAGTGGTTTATAATTTTACATTTTCTAACTCGGTTTAATNGTGATATTGAATCATAAAAATTGACAAATAAGATTTTTTTTTTTCGAAACGATAGAGATATTATATAAAACCAAACAAAAGTACAAAGGTACAGCCACCAGCTGAATACAGACAGCCAAAAGCTGAATATAACAAGCTAACAGTTGAATAAAGTGGGAGGACAATCAAAAGACCGCCTAGAGCCGACCACAACGGGGTAATACTCACAAACACACAATAACACTAACAAACACAAACACAGATACAAAAACACTAAACAAGGACACGAAAAAATTAAAATAAATAGTAGCCCTTCCCCAGCAAACGAAGAAGCCCAAACCAGCAGTGAACGATCGACACAAGACAAGTCTAGGCCAAGAAACTGCTACCGAAACTGCAATCAAGCCTATACAGTAGAAGAAACCTAATCCCGAACCAGTCCCCGAATTGACCCATCAATGACCGAGAGAGCCATGGTCAAACCCACACCGATTCAACCCGAACTCTTCTAACACCACTAGACGAGCCGATAGAACCTTCCCCGCCGCCTAAAACCACTAGTCAAACGGGGGCTTGTGAGAAAGAACCGGCCCTCAAACCCGTCCGCCATAACGGAAGCCGTCGCAGCAGCTGGAGCCCCGCCCTATCCACAGCACCACACACCACCGAGCACCACAAAAGAATCCGCCGACCAACTACCAAGGCCCCACCGGAAGCCCCGCCGGGGAAGGCAGGATCGACCGAAGGGAACTTCAATCGCAGACATAATCCGAGAGAGGGAGAGGGCATACCTCCGCCAATCGAAGGGCCGATGACCGGAAAGGAACTACCCATCGCAGACCGGACTCCGACCAGGGAGACGGCACCTCGAACCTCAGATACGCCGGCGACCGAAGGGCAGAACATTCAGCAGAATCGCAGCAACATCGGGGCGCACGACAACCTGGACGGACGAGAGGTCGCTGACGCCCGCCGGCACCGAGGAAGGCGTATCAATGGCGACTGAAAGAGGCGCGGCGGGTTAGGTTTTTTTCAGAGAGAATTGGGGCGTAACGATGGCGATTTAAAAACACCATAATTTTATATCGGATACTCAAAATTTTTTAAATTAATAATAGAGAAAGATTATAATCATAAAAATAAATAGTAAAATTAGTTGGGAAATGATGAATAATAATAATAATAATAATAATAATAATAATAATAATAATAATAATAATAATAATAATTATTATTTGTACTATTTGTTGATAACATTAAGAAAAGAAACAAAAGAGTGTGAGAATAATGTATCATTTAATATTTTATATATTAATTTGTTTAATTTCAGCTTGTAATAAAAAAATATTAAAAAATAAGAATTATTGTTTTTCTATCTCAAATCACAGCCTAAAGTTTTTTTTCCTCTCTTTCATTTATAATCTGTCAGTATGTTTCGTGAATAAAAAGAATAATTAAAGTATTTAGTTGTTTCCTATTTAGTTGCATGGAGGTGCTTTTTATGTATTATTTAACAATCATAAAAATTACTCGCAATACATTATAACTTTATTTTGTACTATGTATTATTTACAATCACCAAAATTGTCAGTTATTGTATAGATCATAACTTTATTGTTTACATCATAGTTTTATTGTTTATCTATTAAAACAACTAGTACAATGCCCGTATATTACACGGGTACTTGTTAAAAAATTATTTAAAATGAAAAAAATTATTTTAAATTTTATTTACTTTTTTACAAAAAAATATATATTATTATATATTTTAGAATGACACTTGTTATGTGCGATTTACATGTATTATAGTAATTATTATAACTTATATCATATAACTACTTGAAATATAAATATGTTAATTAATAAATAATTTTTTTTATAATTAATATTAAAACCAATTTTATTATTGTTATAAAGATAAACATAATTTATTTTTTTTATACATACAATATGGATGTTAAATCAAAGTTCATCAAGAGATGATTAATTTGATATATTATATAGGTAAAACTGATAAAAAATACAAAAGTTATTAATTTTTTTTTTGTCTGTAGTTGATTAATGCAATCTCATATGTAATGTTCAGCTTGCAGTTCTAGTTCTAGTATTAAATGAATGGTTCTGACTTTCATTATATTTTAACACAATATTTAACATAGAGCTAAATAATCATTATTTAATACTTTCATTAATACAAAATTCAGTTAACAAAGTTATACTGAGTTGAAAAAGGTGAAAAATGGTATTATAACAATATGCACGACCATCTGAGTCAGCGTGGCGGCGACCGGCCGGCACCGACTGGTGGCGCCCACTAAACCGTCCAATTCATGTTCCTTTTCCTTTATCACAAATGGAAACGCCAAAAAATATTGTCACGCTTTCCGATGAATCTTATGCAAAAAATAAGAGAACCAAAATAAGTTGTACCCATGTGTTTTGTCAAAGTAATTAGATGGAATCATTCAGAACAATGCAGGGATTCAAGTATTTTTTAATGGCACTTTAATAATCACTTTGATAATCACTCTATGCTGCAAACAAGATGTTGAGTCATGCTCGATTTTTTTTTAGAAAAATACTACATTACCAATTTAGTGTACAATTAGATTGACAACACAAGTAAAAACATCCATTTGTGTATTTTTTTTATTTTTATTTTTTTGAATGTTTTCACTTGTATTTTCAATCTAGTTGTATACTAGGTTGGCAATGTAGCATTACTCTTCTTTTTAACACCTGCTCGATGAGCCGGTTTTACTCGATGTACGACTCGACGGTTTTACTCGATGTACGACTCGACGTAGAAATTAAGGTTCTAAAAACAAGACCAATCATCAAACCGATCAAGCTACTGGTTTAATAGTTCATTTGTCCGACCAATGGTTAAATCGGTTGAACCGATATTTAATTTATTAATAGTTTTAAACATATGTAATATTATTATAATAAAATTTATATAAAAAACTTTGTTAACTAAACTTTAAGCAAATTTAAAACATTCAATACTTAAACTAACTAATAATAACTTATATACATCTATTATATTTAAACTAGTGTTGATACCCGTGCGATGCACTGGGTATATTACAAAAAATATTTTTATTTAAATATTATAAAATTATTTAAGACAATATGAAATTATATTCTCCACAATATTATATTCAGTAATAATATGACATTTATTTTTTACTATTATTGTTAAATTCTATTTATATATATATATTTGTATTTTTTGATTATTTAATATACAAATTCTATTATTTATAAGTTTATAAAATATTATAAATGTATAAGAGTATATGATATTCTCATACAAATTACATGTATGTACTTATAAAAATATTGTTTATCATAGTTTTATCATTTTTTCAACAATTCATAATTTGCACATTGCTTGATAATTGACCAACGTTTAACCCATAATAGTTATCTTGCGCTATAATTATTAAGTGCATTATATGTTAAAAACTTTGATAGATAAATTTTAATTTTTAGTAACTTTAATCCTCATGCAACGCACAAATTTTTAATGGTGCAATATTTTACTTTTATGTTTTCATTTTTTTATTTATATATATTTCTTTAGTTAGTTTTTTCGACATATATAATGAGTTACATAATATCTATTCCAATATTTAGATATATTATATATTTCCATAATTACCAAGTGCTATAATCTAAATTATTATACATTGCTATTTTATTAACTTATTTTTTATTTATAAAATAATATATAATAAAAAATATATATTTTTAAAAATTAAATAGTGTTTTAATGTACATAAATACTTATAAGGTGAAATTTATAATTCTAAATTGCACCCGACCATCAAATTTTATTTTTATTTGTATATTATTTGAATTTTCAATAGTATTATCACTCCATATGATATATTCAATGGTGATGTACCTTTTTATAGTTAAATTGACTACATTTTAGAATTTTTTTAATAAATTAAATTATTTATTAAGTTAGTATGATTTAAACATAATTATTTTGATTATTTTATTAAATATTTTAAGAATTTATAAACAGTGAATATAATTAATTAAATTAATACCTACAACCATATATGATAAAAATATCTAATCAAATCAATTTTCATAATAATTTTTTGATTAAGTCAATAAATTACTATTAAATTAATATAAGATCTTATTTGAAAATATATCTAATAAAAAAAAAAGAAAATATATTTAATAAATCTGCGGTCAAAATTTCAATTTAAGCCAATTTATAATTAATGAGTAATTATTATTGAGTGTATAAAAATTAAATATGTTTTTCATTTATAAGATTTGCTAATAAATAAATATTAATTAAATGTCAAATATAGACGAAAAAATTTCCCGCCTAAAATCTTGCCAATTATGTCAATAAGGATTGGTCCATTATATAGATATAGATATGCATGTTTTAGTTATCTTATTTTAAATATATTAAGATTTATTTTTAAAAGAATTCTAGAATGGTTCAACCGGTACAACCGGTCTAGTTTTTTGGCCGTTCTAACATGTTCTTTGGCAACCAGTTCATTCCAGGAAACCAGACCGGTCAACTGATCGATTCCCGGTCCTACCGGTTGGACCAGATGGTCTGGTCCGGTTCTCTAAGCCATGTTAGAAACACAAACGTTCAAGACTG